AAACGACGTGGGTGTCGGGGTTAGGCCAATAACTTTAGTCACCTTTATAGCCGTCATTTATCTTGCGGCATGCTCGCCAAAAGTACAATCAATGTAAGCACGGTTCGGGGCTCTGCCGCGCCTCCATGATATTGATTCACGTGGGCCATGAAAATGTTATGGGAACTACGACTGGAATTGAGACTGCGACGACGGCAAAGTGCAAATCTATTTTTTACGCAATCGTGTGATAAGCCCATTAATCTTATAATCATTTTAGTTGAAATGCAATTAATGCAGGAAGTACGGGTAACAAGGTTAGAATCGTATTTACTGCCTAAGTTATCTTCAGTCAGAAGAACTATTGGGATAACCATATATTGTCACTCATTGGAAATTCAATTTAAATAAGTTCATTTACCTCAGGAACAGCTTTATATACCGTAATCTCAAAGTATACACATCAAAATCCACAGATCTGGGGAGCATTTGTCTCTTCTGTTTAGTCGACGATTGTCATTTAAATTTGAATGTCCCAAAAATCATGAATTTACAGCTGAAGTAATCGTAATTCCTACTATAGATCCACAGCTAGCGGTTTGATTTACTCGTGCTATTCTCCACTATAAATCAGAACAAGGGGCTCTAGTCGGTAGCTCCCCATTAGGGTTAAGCTGGCCGGTACGAGCTCGTTTCAAAATTAAAGTTCCCTCAAATGGGCTCGATCTAGCTGTAAAATGAAAGATACTGTGGTGACTCTAGTTGACTCTGTTGAAACCTAAGATATTAAAAAAGATTAATCAAGAACAGGATTTCGATATCGGATTTCATTATTATTCAGGGGCTTACTTCCACGGTAATCTATGCCACAAGTGGAATATAGTACTGTGAGCCAAGGCAATGCGTTTAACCTCAAGAAAGACGCTTCTCCATGCTTATCCAGCATCCCCTTGGTACCGCGCGAATAAAGGTTGCACAGACATTACATTCCCGCCTTGTTAGGAGGTGAGGCCAACCAGAAACTTCAGCTAGTCTGTTGATACAACACCTGGTTACTACGCAACTTCACGCCGCGCAAGGCCCTACCTGTGTATTTGGATATAAACCTCAACCAACACCTTACTCCCATTCTTCCTAATAGAAAGTTATTGTTGAATATGAGAAATATGCGGATTTAACTTTTTTATCAAGCAAAATTTCGATTAAAAATCTCAAGCTTGAAAAATCTTTTTATTGTGGCTCTTTTTCAAATTTTTGTCGATGTAAATATGCGCGACTAGAGCACTGTTCCTTCTTTAAAGACATCGAATGGGACCAAATTTAAAATCAACAATCTCTTAGAAAACTGAATATATCACAATGCAGTTCTCTTGCTCCAATTTTAAAGGTTTTACGTTTAAGCAGTAATAATTATTTAATATTCATAATCACAAGACAACTATTTTCGTTTGCTAAGATTAAGGAGAATAATATACATTTGTTGATTGTCTATGAAAGTCCTACTAGCTAGAAATCTTCCATTCTCACATATATGTACATATTTAAAAGTGCCTAAAAGTATGCATTGGTGTTTAAATTAATATTTCCCCAACAAGAACTTTGCGTCTCTTATATTCTTCTTTAGAGAGGTTTCATTTGACATTCTCCAGTAGCAAATGTTCATAGGAGGCTTATATATTTTTGTAAACAGTAAAATAAACAAGAAATACGTCTATGTTAACTGAAAAAAACTGAATGCTGCCTCGCCATAATAGAATTTTTAGCTAGATGTGACAATTTGCACGTTGTAATGGGGTGGATTAGAGGTCCAGGTCCCACTTACAGGATAAAAACCCACTTAAAACACGATGTCTGATAGTTCACACGCCTCGGTGTCGCCCCTAATTAAATGCCAGATAATGCCGGCCTGCGCTACGGAAGGTTTTTTATGCAATCTATCGTTAACTGCCTCTAAGCTGTTAAATTGTTTTTAATTGCATTAAATACTAGTGCAGGCACTTGAAAATTTCGCGGGCGAACGCAGTTTTTTATTTACTTTCGAACATTGTCGGGGATTCTGCAACCCTTAGCTAATTGCCTGGGCGATGGGTGTGAAATGTGAAATAGTTGAATTCGCCACCACCCAAGAAGTGAGAGCTAAGTAAATAACAATTATCTATATATAAATATATATAATTTAATAAATTGGCATTAGTCCCATATTCTATATATGCTAGCAAATGAACGGGTCTGCAAATTGTAATATCTTTAAATTGACATATGGTTTTGCGATTAAAGTTCATTGAACCGCGTTCACAAGCCAAGCTTTAACTGTTAAAGAACTCTTTGGCATAAGACTCAGAAACAGCCGGAGAGAGCTTTGAAAGCCACTCAAGCTGTGCTGCTCAGACTCCGTGCGTCTCAAGAAGCACTCAGAGAACCTGCTGCATGCTTGCCCGTTAATCTTGGCGTATATGTGCATGTATGCATGCACACACATGCATGCATATGCACACATGTATGTGTCGTATGGAAAACAAATTGTGAACACGAGACCAGCGATGCTTTACGACCCTAATGACTGTGAGAACTTTTTGTAATTGTCGCGCTTTTGAGTACCTACAATGTCGCAGGCATTGCCGAGCTCTTAAGTCACATGGTATATCTAAGAGCATGTTTATAATTGTCTCAGTATTTACAATTGTTTTTGCTTTGTTTTCTACGAATCTAAATATCTCTCTTCTCTCTCTTTTCAGAGCTCTACGGTTAACCTTTCAGATCTAGGTAAGTCTCGTAACTCTTTCATAGTTAAATTTCAGCAAAAGAGAAACAAGTGCCTACCATACGAGCTTTATAAAATAGTCTTTGGTACAAATGTTCTTCATGTTTTCAGGTATATGTATGTATATACTGCCACAAAGATTTTTTGTAAATAAAAGTGATAAGTTCTAAACGGGTGAATAGAAAATATCAAAGTCTTTTAGGTTCGTTATGCATATAATGCAAAGCATTTTATTGTGCTTATTCATGTTTTTATCTACTTTATATTGTGCAATTCGCGGTCTGCATTTGCGTACGTATTTTGATTGAATTCCTGATTAGTTTAACATGTGGCTTTTGTCTAGCCATCGACATTGGTTTCTCAGCTTGTGGCCATTGCAAAACCCATTCACATTCGTGGCGTTGTGAGAGTAGCTTATCTTTTGTCCATCCAACGGGTAGCTGTAGGTGTGTAGGGGGTCGCATTAGGTATTAGGAGCACCCAGTTTTCTTTAGAAATAGAACACCAAAGCGACTGACAACTGCAGTGCAATTTAGTTGGCTTTTTACTAGCTCGGCTCTTAGCTGGCTTTTTCTGGACTTTTTGCTTAGATGTTTGATTGATGCAAACGCTAATCAAAATCGGTGCTTTGCAGTATTCTTGCTACTAAATTTTTATACCCATTAGATGCTTAATCAAAATTCGTTGCTTTGTATAGCTCTATGATTTGCAGCAACATTTTTACCTGTCTGTACCCAGCTACCTAGCCTATCTCCACTCATTTCTGCGCACATACAAACACACATACATGTATACAAATGTGCATTGTACATATCTTTAAGCCGATGCATTGCAATTTTTCGCACGTTCCAATACTGAGAGCCATGAGTCGCTCTCTCACGCTCTCAGATGGTTTCGACCTTTCCATTGTATAAGCACAACAACAGTTTAATGGATTTGTCTCTCTTTGGTTTTTTATCTATTTTTCTCTTTTCGCAACGACCTTGTCTTATTGCTTTGTTCGATCGATCATTCGATATTATTGTCGATTGGAATTCATGTTGGGCACTTTAACATTACAAGTCGATCAGTTGAATTGTTGATCATTTGGCTTAGTTAATCAGCTACTGTCATTCCATTGCATAATAATATTTGTTAACATCGATCCCTAAAAGTGTTTAGTCTTTGATGTATCACTCTTTCTATTTTCTCTTACATCATTAAAATTCTCTTCGGTTCGTATTCATTTGCTGCCAGTGTCAACTATTCAGACCCGGAGTTATAGCTGTATGTGCTCGTAAGCAAAACTGGCAGCTGCAGACCTAACAACTGGTTATGAATGCCCTACATTTCAAACATAAGGGCATATGTGTAATTGGAAGAGTCTATATACATAAATCGTCGCAAGTCGCGTAATATTTTCAAAAACCTTCTTATTTTGGATGAATTATTTTTTAACTGGTAGCATCATCAACCGACTGAAATTGCAAATGTTTTTTGATATCTCTAATTTTGTATCTAAAAATATAAAAATGATCGATAATAGTTATTTTGGTTATAAATTTAGAAGCAACTGAAATTTGTTTAGAATTACATTAAACTTATTCCTTGTGTGCTATTTATTTATGAGTCTTTTTTTGGTGTAACTTGTGCTCTTGATAAAATATCTTCACAAAACGTTGAGTTGTCGATATATGGAATACAACGGTACAATTTGATCAATGCACTTTGTATAAGTTCTTAAATAAACACATGCATACAAAGCCAATTCTAAAGGTTTTTTGTTTTGTAAATTTAACCAAGTTTTCCTACATAATTATTAGGTAATTGTTGGTGATCGCGCACAAGGTAGCGCATTTGGGAATTTAGCTGGCCGATGCCTTTCGGCTGACTCCACAAAATCTACGGCTGAACAAAGCGCGTCGCAATTTTATCGGTGTCGCTCTCGGTCCCGAGGTAACTGTCGTTGTTGGTAGTAAATAATACAATGGCACTGAGGAAACTCACGCACACAAGCGCGCTAAGAGCGTACGGCACTAACACATGCTCACACATATCTATATATATATATATATATATGGATGTGTGCATGTGTACACAGATGCACACAGTCGCCCTGTGTACAAAGCCAACAGCTGTCAGCAACACGCTCTTGTTCTCTTGTCTTGTTCTCTCCCTCTCTTTTTCTCTCACTCTCTGGGCAATTGAGTTTCGAACCAGTCGGTACCGCGCCAGTACAGTAGACCAATCTGAGCCGTCGAATCGAGCAAACCTCTCTGGATAGCGCGTCAACCGTTGACCGTCACGTTCGTCAGTCTGCAGAGTCCACTGGTGCTACGTAGAGCCCATGTCCGCGTAACTTTTAATGCCAAGTCGGGGGGGTTACGTTTTTCTGGTACTGGTTGTTTTAGTGGTTCGGAATCGTGGTGTTTCACAATCATATTCGCTGCCGTGAAATCTGTTAAGTGCTATGTTAAAAATCAATGTATGAAACACGCTAAGAAAAATCGGTACATATTATATAATGCCCGAAACCGGTTTGGTGGCCTAAACAAAAATAGTTGACCGTGCCAAATGATAGCCTAAACAGTATATTTACTGCTGGATTTAACTGCGCCTGGATAGAAACCGAACAGTCCACCAAAACATGATACTTTAATGGTATGTTTTGCCAAAATGTCAAACGATAATACAAACAAAGCTACGTAAACTCGCAACAACACCTTCAAAGCTTATGTTACATATACACATGTGGATGGTACGGACACTGAAAGACTTTCGATTCAATCCGAAAACAAGTTTTTGCATGAAATGTAATCATTTGCATACAATTCTTGGATTCTTAAGTCACATTTATTGCTGTCGCTCGGTACAGGTTTTCGGATTGTCTCGTGTGATTTGGCAAACTTTGACGTTTCTGACATGCATTGAAATAATAGTTAAAAGGCTGAAGTATAAGTAAATTGCTAGATCTTAACTGAAATTTCATCAAGAAAGTATTTCTATAACGAACAGGAAGTAAGTACAAAGAACTAAGATGGCCGCTAAGAATCTTTGCAGAACACACTTAAGCACATACTTGTAGACTTATGTTTGTGGATATGGCTTCTTTCTCTTTTGACATACAGCTGACAGCTGTCTAAACTGACTGGGTATTGCTAATACAGAGGCTGACACGGTTTAGTTTCTGAAAATATATGGGTATTGCTTTACCAATGACGATTCGATATAATGAATCTGGAAAATTGCAACTATCAGGCATCAAAGACACTTGCAATTAGCAGCCTCATTACGGATTTAAATATACATATATATATATAAGATTAGTATCTAGTATTGCCATCTTTCGCACGTATATAAAGATGATTCATTGCAAAGATGTGTCTGACTAAAAGCAGCTTTTTGTTTGGTTCGGGCTTCGTATGACCGTCACCTAAGTAAACATAATGATTTGTTGCAATGTCGAAACATAAATATTGAAATGTAAACTTTTCTCTAGTGAATTTTATTGTAATTAATGCTGTGAATTCAGTGGCTATGAATAATATTAAATGAGTTATAAACTAATGAAATTAGCGAGGGATAAGGTCTCCTTAACAATAGATGACGGAGCTCTCACCCACTCAATATTATTTCTACATTTTCTCCGAATCCATAATCATTTTCACTATTTTTTTTGACAGTACAGTAATTCATAGTTTTAATATATATAAAGAAGTAGGCAAGTGTTGTATTAACATTAACATCTTGATTCCGGATACCGCCCATGTGGAAGAATCTTGAAACTGAAGAACAAGCTTTCGTTCATTAAACCTTTGGTTAGCATTTTCCAATCAAATAAATTTTAACGAAAATCCCTGAAAGTTACCTTGAAGCGAATCCGATACGAAACAAAAAAGTTGCATGCAACAGATTTCCCCTACATTTCCACGGTTGCGGGTGAAATTTACAAAACCAGTGAAAGACGAAACTTAAAATTCGCCAAACAAAGTTTTATTCATGTTAAATGAATTTTCATAAAGATTCTTATAAATAATTAGTACCCAACACATCCCCCACCAAATCTCTGACTTCACAAAGAAGGGATGGAATTTCCAATGAACTTGAACAAAGATATTTGAAAGTGAGTTGATGCCGATCAGAGGGTAAACAGAAAAGTTTCATGCAAACGTTGCGATTTTCCCACACTTGTGGGTGGAATTTCCCAAAACAACGCCTTTGCGTGTACCTCCGTATATTATATATACATATGTATATACAATATATATTTCCAGTATTTTTAAAAGATAAAGCTTTAAATGAATCATTGGTCAAACTGCCTCAACTATCCGAATTGAATATCTTGTCTGTCGGAGTAGTGCAGTCGCTCTTAACAAGCTTAACGATTGGAGTAGAAAATGTTGGGGCTACAAATTCACAGCCGAAACTCAAGAAACACAAAGAGCTTTCAGCCCGGCCAGAGTCGCACCAAAACCGGTAACAAGCCACGGCAAAAAGTAAGAACATCAGGCCAACAAAAACACAAAAAAAAAAAATACAACAACTGTTTGTGCCTGGTGCAATCGCTTGAAGGAAACCAGTTTCTGTCGGCAAAGCGACGCCACTTTTCTCACTTGCCTTTCGATTATGCCAAACTGCATTCTTATGGATCTGGCTGCTGTTGGCTTTTCCGTACTGAACATCGTGCTCGTCTTCGGCGTAAGTTTGGACTCGTGGGGCGCTGTTGCAGTCGGCATGGGGCTCTGTTGCCGGCATACATACGACTTTCGTTAAATTTTTTCATGCAGTCGATTAACAACAGGTAACTCAGATGATGATGACGCTGATGGCGGTGTCAGAGCTTAATCGCAGTAATTGTAGCTGCGTAGTCATCGTCTGAGACATGTTTCTAACATCTGTCAGAGAATCTTATATTTACGATACCTCACATTATTACGAAGCTTAATTATAAACTACATTGGAGACGTCATAGGTTTGAATTGTTTGGAAAAGAAATTTTAATCTTACAGGGAATCCAGTAAAGTGTAGCCCAGATCGATCATCTGATTTTTATTTGCGTGAAATGAAATTGATTTACGAATATCCCACTTATACAAATATCCCACTTGTACGAATATCCCACTTATACGAATATCCCACTTAGAATATCCCACATCTTAAGTACACACTGACACTTAGATCGAGTTGTAAAAAAGCTCTGAGTCAGTGTTCGAGCTTAAAAAAAGAAAACAGTTTAATTTAAGACTTTTTGATTCATGATTCATTTTCAGCTCTTTTTAGAGCGCGTTATGCAAATCACAGAATTGTTGCCGGGCTCTGCTAAAAATGTAACTAGATAGTCAAATGTAATAGCTTTTCTTGGAGGATCCGAGCAACTCATTCACGTGTGGAGTGTAAAAAGGTTTTCCTTACCTGTCACCATTCTCAGTGTGGCTTACTTAGTGGGTTCTTTTCCAGCTAACTGGGAGCACACATGTCGGGCTTCCGCCCGTAAATAGATTTCGGCTCTGTTTGCACGTCGCGCCACTTTATCGATTGCCACGTTGGACTCACCTGCTAGGTAAATCATATATTTAGGCGCCTGGCTGAGTGGCAACATCTGTTGCGAGTGGCAGAAGTTGTTTGTGCCAAATAAACAAATTGTTGGAGGGAGCTAAGCATTGGAACTGCGAGCGATAAAACTGTCACACTCTCGCGCACAATTAAATTGATTTGGTTCTAAAAGCCAAAATGCCCCACGGCCCAAAACCGCCCACCGCCCACCGCCCATAGCTAGCTTCCCGCTAACAATAACAATCAGAGCAGAGAATGGGGCTCAAAGCACCTGAAATAGCAGTGAAAAGTGTCAAGCTTCGTTGGCTTCGAATATATATATACGCTGGCTGTCACGTTCAGAAATTGTCGGAAAGTGTGGCTTTTCAAATCTGAGTGATAATCTGCATAAGGCACATACTGCTCGTATCTAATAGTAATCGCAGTTGAAATTAAAATAACATCTTTGGGACGTTGCACGAGGATTATAAAACTGAATTTATTTGGCTCGCTGTCAGGCGCCCTTATCTGAGCAAGACACAACAAAATTTAAAAGCTAAAATGTTTAACTAATATGCCAGATAAAGTAGCAGCAATGTTTGCCAATGTCATCTCGAAATGTTCAAACGCGTAGTACGTAGATTTTGGATACATGCAAAACTTCTTGATTGGATAATCAAATTCGGCGAGCTCAACAAGTTTGCTTAAGACGCGCAATATAGTTCTCTGTAGATCTAACAGGAGTATAATTATATACTGAAAGTTGAATTCTTACCATCTTTCTGTTCTTCAACAGGAAAAGCATTAAAAGGTCGTTACTGCTCAAAGGAATGTTTAGGTTGGGACTTTTGAAATTCTTTTGCATAGTATTTATTTATGATTCAGGTGAATTAACATAATTTTGAATTCAACCCGCATAAGAGTATATTGTATGCATATGAGCTATGCATGTTAAGGCATTTATGAGTGAATGTCGGATTTTAATGTTTGATTGTTATTGATAGCTCGCCCGGCTTCAATCAGCTGCATATGATTATGATTCTTACACGAGTCTAACTACTTGCTCCAAGTGTAAATATGCCAATTGACAGGCAAACGAGTTGTGTGCAAACAGGTTTTCCAATGAGTGAGTTAGCTCTGTCCGTCTGTGTGTGTGCGCTTGTTGTGCCTGTATGCAACTGAGTCATTCTGTCATTTTTGTTTGGTATTCGAAACAGAGTGAACCACTTCATACTCCTCAAGCACTGTCGCTACCAGGCACTTCCTATGCCAGTAACACGCAGATACAAGCGCAGATATCAGCACAGCTGCTGCACATATCCGTGCAGCTATCGTCGTCATCCACCAGCCAGGCAAACCGTTGTTTTTTCTCTACCTGAAAGGCAATTCAAATCATTTACTAAAACTCCGCAATGGACATGTGGCTGGTTGTAGCTGGTTGTAGGATTCCAGCTCTGAATAGAACCCAAAGCCGTGCCACGTGCAACAAGCATATGCCAGCCGCATTATTATCGGAGCATGGCTTTGAGTCTAGACCGATGGCAGATGCGCCCGATTGCAATGGCTGTCGAACGAATTCTATTCTTTTGGCATGAGTCTCTAGTTTCCTTCCTTGCATGTGTTAGTGTGTGTGTGTGTGTGTGTATCTGCGGGACGGACATTCTACGCATGAACGTTCATAAGAAAATGTTTAAACTCTGCTTGCTTGTCTACATAAATGCTGTCATATTCTCTGTTTTCTCTTTGACTTCCGTTTGTTTTCCTTCTTTTTCTCAAGTGGTTTGTATTATCTGTACTTTTTTTTATACTGATAAAATTAGTGTCCTCTTGATTAATGCACACATACGTTAAATACCAATTGAATAAAGTTAAAAAGGATTTCTAGGCATTTGCTATAAGGAGATTTGAGCCAAGGAGTCTCAGGCCTAAATATTTTTTCAGCTGCAAGCAATACAACAGAATGCCGGTCTCGTACCAATATTTGAATGCCGATAGATGCAACCATGATGCAGAATTAGTTTTTTTCACACATCCCATTCACATCGATGGCAGCAGTTCCCATAAGGCGCCGCTCAGGTAAACTCCATGCTGTCGTGATCAACGCCCAATTTACAGCTAATAATTACGCACTTCAACAGCAGAAAACGCGGCAATGCAGCTGGAAAATAGGGCCGACTGCATTGGCCTGGGTGCATAGAAATGTCTACCCTCTGCCCCCTAGGCGCGCCCTTGCCTCCTTTGTTGTTAAGGGTGCCTTTTAACGCCGCCGTGTGAATTTTTCTATGCGCGCTCGGAGCATTCGTAGCATCAAACGGAGAGACGCTTTGTCTTCTTGAGCAGTAACAAATCTTACGAAAAGCTGACTCTCTGCTAACCCTTTCTACTTTGCTCAGATTCCGACCGAGACAACTTGACACGCGGGAATTTTGTGTTTCATTTCGTCTTATTTTTACACTAAATCTTCAACTCACATCCAGCTTGGTGTTTCCTTAAACTTGTAACTTAGCCAGCATTGAAAATGCATGTGTAGAACCCAATTAACGTTTTTTTTTATCAGGAAAATATTCTTAATTACAATTAGTTATTAATTTACTAAACGTTCTCTGTATCCTGCTCATATATATATTCCTATGCCATATTTATTTAACATTCGTTTTTTTTTTGTCGAAAATTCTCACGACCACCAACACAAGCAGCGAGAGAAAAAATTCAAAATTCCGACACTCTGACAAGCAACCCTCCCCCTGATAGGCTTCACACAAAAAACAATATACGGTCTCTTCGCTAAGGACGACGCTTGCGAAAAGGACGTGGTCGTGGTCGTGAACACATTAGGCTTCAGCTGTGGTGGTTGGTTAGCTCTGAATACCCCTCTGCCGTAGCCAGAAGACAATGCGCAGGGCGGCATAATTATAATTGCATATTAAGTACTCACAGGAAAGCTGGCTGAACGAAAAAAAAGGAAGCCATAAATGTAGTATATCCTTTATTGTCCGTTCTGCCCGGGCTACCATTAAGCGTGTGAACTCCCGAATGCATCCAGGAATGCAAGTTCACATTGTGACACTGTGTCATTGAGTCGACAATTAAAATGCCTTGATAGATCTATTCGCCGATGAGCTGGGTCTGATAGGTTCGGCTTCAGGAAGATCTCTGTATTTAGTGGGCATACGTGCATAATAAGCTTCAGAATTGTCTTCTTTTTTAGGCTTAACTAGATTTCAGCATCTTCTTAGCCATTATACTGTAAACTAATTCTTGGCTTCAAGTCATTAGGCGAGTATAATCCGTCGAATATGATGTGTTTAGCTTAATCCGACCGACAATTTCAACTGGTACTAATCCACAATTTATCCCTGCTTGCTATTCATGTTCAAGTTAATGGCAGGATCTTTTGCAAGTTGGCGTTCCCATGGAAGGCCAAATGCACAGTTGACCAAAGCTGGATGGACGCAGATGTGTTCAGTCTAGAGTATCATCACTTGGCAGCTGGTGGGCGCCAGCTTGATTGTAGTTATACAACTTTAATTATAAGCATATATAGTACACCCAATATCTTGCGATATATGTACGTACATGTAAAGATATAGATATAGACATGCGTCTAGTTCGGTGTCATTGACTGCGCTGCAATGTGGTCGTGAGGGTTAATTGTTTAATGGAGTCTAAAGGCAAAAATTGCCATTTTCAGTGGCACGCTAATTTACAGTACTTCATTATTTAATTATGTCATGGAATAAAGCCATGTGCTACAGATCAGCGACATACGATTTAATCACGTACATATATCTTGCTAGTCTGCGATCCAACGAATCGGTTACTCACATGCTTCGACAAAGGGTATTCAGACTAAGTAGAAATAGAAGTGACGATGATTATAAGATTATAAGTCTTGCATCCTTTTGAATCTGGAAATAGCTTTCTACTATATAAATGAAAAGTAAATAAGCAAAACTATATGAAGTAGTTAAGTAAAGATTTATCACATCCACACGTTGATATACTTATAAGTATATATTGCGTATGTAACTCAAGCTCTATTTTGATCGAGTGGAACCTGTTTTTTGGTCTGTTGGTTGAATGAACCCCCTTCAGATGATGTTCACTTTTGGTCCAATGTTAGTTTTTATGCGTGACTTAATAGTCTTTTTAAATTCTACAGTTTCATTGACCATTTTTTTGTATGTGTAATACGTGTTATTTAATCAGTTTCTTGGCGCATGAATCACACTTTAAAATGAATACAATTTTATTGATAGTAACAAGGTAGCACAGTTATCTTCGTGCGTTTCTAGATTAAATACCCTGCCCGACATTAAAGCAGATATAAGATATGCCGCTCAGCGGTAATTTTATTGAAAAATCAATTATTAGTCTAAAAAATAATTCGACTTTCTATTGTATTTGCCCTTCAATCCGTTAGGCATTTCGTGATCAGAGTATATATGTATATATATCCTTATACCCAATATAAGTTCTGAATATGGTACATGACGCTTATCGTATAGTCTTTCCCTGCATACAATAAAAGTAAATATATATATTCCAAGTATATATAGGCGTGTTACACTCTCTTTTGGACCAACTTCTTTGGGACTGTAAAGTGTTTGTGAACCTATTTTGAAAAGCGAAACACAATACACTTAGAATGACCCACTTTGAACAGCAGCAGCCATGGTCAACACAAATCTGAATCTCACGGCTTAGGCCCATAATTCGATTAGCTAGCCGACCCTTTCCCAAAGTCGCAGTCACGCCCAGTTCCCAATAAAGTTGCTTCTGGCCAAAAATGTAGTCAAACAGCAACCAGCAGAATGGACCACGTCAATGCTACAACAATCAGAAAGCAAAGCTTTCAACTCTCGGCTCGGGTGCCCTTGTGGAAGCGACATCCCCCGCCCCCGCCCCCGCCCCCGCCCCCGCCCCCGCCAACAGCACCAAGAACCACCAACAGACAGTAGAACTGGGCGTTAGGTAACAAAGAGCTCAAACCTGTTTTGTAACATTTACAGTTATGAGTGGCACCTCTTAAAGAAGAAAGCTGCTTGTTCTTTCTCAGTCTGAGCTGGCAATGCAGTTGTCGCTGAACTCCCAGCCACATTTAATAGAGATATTTTCTGTCATTTCATTCAGTATTTTTTAGTACTTCGTATGCTGTACTATCTATAAATACTTCCGCTCCTTAGAAATAAATTTTACCTAAGGACTCAGATCTTATTTTACCTCAAAGTGCACTTTTTATGCGCGCGTTGATTCTGCTGTAGGCAAGTCGACGGGCGAGTCGGGTAACTCGCTTGGTTTGTTAACTGGGGGTGCGGGAATTACGTTTAAATTAAAGCACACACAGTTTACCGCAATATGAGACATGTGATAAAGTCACAAAAACGTCAGCGTAAGTCGCCGCAGCGCAAAGAAAACAAAAGCCCCACAAAGTATAAATAAATAGGAGCGTTGAGCAAAAAGAAAAGCAAAAATTAAAAATATGAACAAAATAAAAAATAATATAAAACTAAATATGTGTAAACAATTACGTGAGACAGGCGATAAGCGAACTGGGCCTGGGCCCGGACCCGAACCCGTTGCCAACGTGTTTAGTCTGGAGGTTGCTCGGGCTATTCTCACATGGTCTTTGGGAGTAGCCGTAGGCAGTAGCCAGTTGAACTGGAGATTCTCGGGCAGGAAGGTTGGAATTGTCGTTGTCGTTGTCATTGCCTAGTCATTGCCCATCGTTATAATACTAGAATACTTAAATAATTGATGGGTTCCGATAGATATGTCGTTTTAATATTGGGGGCGTTACCACGTTCGACTCTCACTCGATAGGCTGAGTGTGAGTCACAGTCGGAATGGAATCAATGCGTATCAGAAACGTCAAACATCAGCTGCTCGATAGTGTATGTTGTTGTAGTGTAGTATCGGGTAGTTGTGCCCCTAAACAGTCTACAGTCTTCACTCGTTTTGAATACATTGCAGATCGCATGCGAGCAACAGAAAGTCGTCAATTAATTTAATCAAAACCCATAAATCAAATTTAATGAACAAATAAATTTGCGCACGCAACAAGCCAATAAATAGATCAATAAAATAAAATACAATAAAAAACAATAAAATAATATAAAATACAGTATTTATATATCATCTATCATCACGAGAGTGCCATTTACAAGATAAGCAAAAAAAGATAGAACAATTGAACGAGAGCGAGAGAGAGAGAGAGGGGAATACAAACTGCAAGCAGCTGTCATCTGACATCTGGCAACGCCGAGGCTGTCAGTTTAAAGCCGTAACGGTTATTGGCAGCATTTTACTCACGCAAAAGCCAACGCCAAACCGGCTAGGCACAAGAGTTAGTCAAGAGAGACAAGGACAGCGACAGCCCAGCTATACCGTGAGAGGGAGAGAGCGAGCAGACCACAAGCATGGGAAACTCTTCGTCACACACGCACGAACCACTGGAGCGCGGCTTCACACGTGGAAAATTCGGCGATGTCAAGAATGGGGTAGGTAACAACAACAACAACTCCAACAACAACAACACAGGGGTTGATCGCGCCGGCACTTGTTTCTCTTTACTGTCTGGCATAAGGCACCTTATATGAATCCGTTTCCTAACATATCCATTCGCATCTATAGAAATCCGCCTCGTTTCGGTTTAGCAAGAAGTCGCCCAAGAAGATGGATCGACTGCGACGCTCGTTCCGGGACTCCTTTCGTCGCCGCAAGGATCGAGTGCCTGAGTCCTCCAAGCCACACCAATGGCAGGCCGACGAGGAGGCCGTGCGGTCCGCCACCTGCTCCTTCTCGGTTAAGTACTTGGGCTGCGTGGAGGTGTTCGAGTCGCGCGGCATGCAGGTCTGCGAGGAGGCGCTCAAAGTGCTAAGGGTGAGTCAAATGGCATACGATCAATTCTGAAACCAATTTAGACACGGCCTTTTTCAAAGATAGCAAAATACCACACTTGGGATCCATATAAATTGTCATTGAAAACTTGAAGTTGCACTCATTTCCCTTTCTTCATATACTAATGGAAGGTACATAGATTTGCAGAAACGTTTGAAAACGAGCATATTAACTCTTCCGATAGTTAAGATATCTCATTTAAGAGTCTATTGGGCTTGAAACTATGCATGAGCAATGCAGGTGTTGGAACTAGCCGCATCGAACAATTAGGACGAAAATTTGATCTCTGCATAAAAATCTTTTAAGAAAATAGATTGATATTACTTCTTCCCCCACTTCCGGCCGTGGAAATTTAAACCTAATATCTTCATTCCTTGACCTGTATTTTGAAGCAATATCACGAATATTTTTGAAAATTGGTTTGAAGCCGATAATAAATATAAAAGTGCCAAATTTTCCGTCAAATTTCCAGCACTTGCGGGTCAAATTTCTCATACCATCCTCTTATAATAAACCTCTTTAAATATATATGTGCTGTTTATATCAGTACAATTAGTCGAATTAGTCCAAATAGAAGTTTTTCATATATATATATTAGGTTTAACAAACTTTCAGGGGTATAAACATTAAATCGATTATTAAGTAAGAAGATAATGAACGAAGTCTCCAAGTTTCTTAACAGTAAATAAAAAGAAATAGTCGTACTTATCCAATTTTCTCGAATTTAGCAAGTCTTAAATAGTAGAAAAATCTGTAAACACAGTTTTCTTTTTGGATCTTTAATTCTTAGGGTAACTATTTAACGTAGTACTCAGATATACTTTAATGAGTGTATATTAAATCATGTTGTGTTTATTGGTATCAGATTTTAAAATTTTTACTGAGCTCCTGTTAAATGGGCTTCTTTAAGGAATCAACACGTTATTCAACAATATTATTAATTCTTTTGCAGCAATCCCGACGCCGCCCAGTGCGAGGCCTTCTCCATGTGAGTGGAGATGGGCTGCGTGTTGTGGACGATGAGACGAAGGGGCTTATTGTTGACCAGACCATTGAGAAGGTGAGCTTTTGTGCGCCGGATCGCAATCACGAACGTGGATTCAGCTATATTTGTCGCGACGGAACCACTCGCCGCTGGATGTGCCATGGCTTCCTCGCATGCAAGGACTCGGGCGAAAGGTTATCCCATGCTGTGGGCTGCGCGTTTGCCGTTTGTCTGGAGCGCAAGCAACGACGCGACAAGGAGTGCGGCGTAACGATGACCTTTGACACAAAGAACTCGACGTTTACGCGCACCGGCTCCTTCCGGCAGCAGACGCTCACCGAGCGCCTGGCCATGGCCACTGTGGGCAGCAATGAGCGCTCTGTGGATGGACCCGCGCTTCCCGGACCGCCTGCCGCCACGGTCAAGCCGTTCAATCCGTTCGCCATCGAGCGGCCGCACGCCACACCGAACATGCTGGAGCGGCAGAGCTCCTTCCGGCTAAGCACCATTGGCAGCCAGTCACCATTCAAGCGACAGATGTCTTTGCGTGTCAACGATCTTCCGTCCAATGCGGATAGGCAGAAGGCCTTCCTGGCCGCTGCTGCCGGCAACCCGCATCCACATGCGCTGCACACTCCACAGCGCAGTGTATCGCCCATTGCGGAGGTCTCGCCGGTCAAGAGTGGCAATAATGCTGTCGTCTTGGCGGCCGATACAGTTAGTCAGTTGTGCCAGGAGCTCAGCCAGGGCCTGTCGCTGCTCACGCAGACGGACACGATGCTGGCGGCCGGTGACGATCTGAACTTTAACAACAACCGCAGCATCAACCAGAACATCATTGCCGCCGAGAAGCAGCAGCAAGTAATCTCGTACAGCACCAGTGGCAGCGGCAGCGCCAGTGGCAGCGGCACGCCCACAGCTCAGGTGACGCCCTTTGTGGCTGGTGTTCCGCCAGTGCAGTCGCCAGACGTTGATGCTGTCGAGCTGCCCAATGCCGAACAGTGGCTGGGCCAGGTGGTGCGCACCACTTCGCCCGCTGTGCCGCCCAAAAGGCCCAGCTACTTGGCCAATGTGGGACGCGCTCAGACAGTGTCAGCGAGTTCCACGGTTGGCGGTGCAACTGATCCCGATCCCTTCGATGCCGAATGGGCGGCCAATGTAGCAGCCGCCAAGAAAATGTCGCCGGATGTGCTGGGATCAGGCACAGGAATTGGGGAAGGAGCTGCTTCAGGCACAGGAATGGGCACAGGCAGCGGCAGCGGCAGCAACAGGCACAGCACAAATCCGTTTATCTCGCCGCCCAAGGCGCCAGCGCAAACATTCCAGGTGCAGCTGTAGGCAGTGCTTCAGCGGGGGGACGAGGGGCTGGGCACGAGGCGATCCAAAGTGTGGTTCACTTGAAAAACGTAACTTAGTGTAATGTGGCAGACAGCACAGAGCGTTAGATAGTTTAAAGATAAATAGAAAGATAAAGATAAACATAAAGATAAAGATATTGCTATTCGATTCCAGGTACTTAACGCAAACAAAACAATTGTTGAAATATACTATTAAAGTACATAAACGGCTAAACCGTTCAATTTACGCTACGCATAAAGTAAAGTTAACTACGCATATAAGCAAAACACACACACACACACACACACACACACACGTGTACACCTGGGCACGTGTTTGCATAACACGCATATTTAACAATCAGCACGCCGAATTAGACCAATCTACCAGGTTACCCACAAGAACACCTTAGAAAAATCAGCAACAACAACAACGAGTGCACTTCTCCATTATGCTTAGTATTTACCTACACAAATGCACCAGCATGCACCTGCATGCACATTCATATGTGGTCAATGTTTATAACTGTTATTCTTGGATGCAGCCTTCCACAAGTTCTTGATCGATGACATTCGAGAAAGTTTCATATACATATGCTGACTACCATACATATCGTACATACTTACATACATATATATATATATAATAAAGCTTGTGTATATGTATATCAATAATTCTATATATGTATGCCGAGGGCCAATGTTTTGTCTGTCAATTTTGGTTTACGCGTCTATATAAATATGTCAATTTTTTTAATTTAATTTAAATTAATTTTAAATTGTACAAATGTATTATACTTAAATTTTAATCTTAATTTAACAAAAATAAACTTCAAGTTAATTCACAAGCGCTTTCTATTGCTCTTGGATTCTGCAGGCGACTAGCACTGGCAAAACATTCGATTCAAATTCAAACATGAAATGAGGTTCTTACATTTAGTTTATCGCAGCGCTATAATTAAACATTCTTCTCTTATCTCTTATCTTTCTAACAAACGCTCGCTGCCGATCTAGGCGAAGCCAAGAAATCGTTCTGAGCCACAACCAAAATCTTTTATGATTAAGATATATTCATCTCGGTCAATAAACGCTTTATGACGTGTTCTTGCTGTAAGCCAAATTGTCTCTCTTTCATTCAGTTGCTAAAATTGGACGGCCTGTGCATAAACAAGTAAGAGGCTCGAGAGCTCCCGACTAGGGGATACCCTGAACCCAAGTTTGGTGACTCTAGCTCTTATTATTTACCAAAACTGCCCAAAAAACATGATATCGATATCGATTTTTATCGATTGCTTGGAAACGGAGTAAGTTATCGATTATTGGAAACAAACTCGATCTGCGCAGGCACTAGGAGGACATACATCTAAAATTTCAAGTCTCTAGCTCTTATAGGTTCTGAGATCCTTGCGTTCATACATACGGACGGACGGACGAACGGACAGACAGACGGACATGGCTAGATCGACTCCGCTATTGATGCTGATCAAGAATATATATACTTTATGGGGTCGGAGAAGTTTCCTTCTGCCTGTTACATACATTTGGATTTTGCACAAATACAATATACCCTTATACCCATTTTTGATGGGTTCAGGGTATAATCATCGAAAAAGTTTTGATTTTCGCACCGACCTCTATTTTGAAAAAAAGCGTGATGATTTGGAAGGTCATATCTCCGCGTGGAGTTATGTCGTTTTGGAACGTCATATCTCCGCGCGAAGCTATGTCGTTTTAGAACGTCATATCTCCGCGCGGAGTTATTTCGTTTTGGAACGTCATATCTCCGCGCGAAGTTACGTCGTTTTGGAACGTCATATCTCCGCGCGAAGTTATGTCGTTAGAATCATCTTTTCTTTGAAAAGAACAAAACCTGGAAGAATACATAAATTAGATATCTTAAGCGTAAGAAGGTTCGACCACTATCTGTATTATAAATGTATAAACTTTTCTGTTTTGTTTTTTGAAACATCATTGGCTCTTGCTGGCTTGAAGAAGTTATTTAATCAAAGCAGGCTTACGAATTACTGCAATTTACTCATTTATTTGTATTGTGTGTTTAATTTAATATTATTATATTTTCTTATCCGTCCCATTTAAGCTCGTTATTCACATAAATTTGTAGCAGGCTGCATCGACTGCTTGCAGCATCATAAAACTGCTTGTTTATCAGATAAGCAGTGCACTACAATAATAGCTAATACAGAAACCATTTCTAGATACAGCTATTTAACATTGACACATACCTTTGGGCGGATCCGAAAACAAGATTTTAAAAATTGCAAGGTAAAGGCATTGCAAGTCAATTAATCAAATTTATAGATACTTTTTAAACAATAGAAAGTATATATGTATATTCGTTATGAGTCGACAGTCATATCAGCTTTCCGTTTAATTCGATAGATTAGATAGAGTAGGGCAATGCAAAAGTAAGGGTTAAAGATAGAAGAAGTATTTTAATTTATTTAGCTCATTATTCACTTTGGAAAACTTGCATTTTTGAGGAAAGCTGAGGTTGCCCCGCTTTTCCAGTTCGATTTAAGATGCCTGATCAACTGATCAGTTTCCCTGGGGCGTGCTCTCTGATGTCCCCAATAGTCATTGTGTGTGCCCTATTAAGCCAGCGAGGAAAAATGCTTGAACGGGCTGCTAATTTATGACTTCCAAGTTCTCGCACGAAAACGAACTCGGAAACGTGAACAAAACTGTGAACGGGAACAGACCTTTTGGCTTTTGTGCGGCCCAACTGCCGCAATTTACGATCAGTCCATGGAGCTGCTGCACCATTGTCCGCAATGTTTATGCAATGTAATGTGATTTTATTGCAACAGCTGAAGCTTGTAGAGCTGCTGTATTCCGCTTTCTTTACGGGCGTTGGAGCATGCCATCAGGGCGAAGCATAAGAAGATTGCGATCATTCTTCTTGCATCTTTCCCAGAATCCTCTCCCCGCACAAATTGTTATAGTCCTTAAAAAGAAGCCTGTTACAATTATGGCACGTGAGACGCAACTGAGACTTCTCCTAAATCCTTGAAGATTTCCCAAAGGAGAACTTGGTCACTTGGTCCAGCCACTGCCTGTCACTAGCAGAGGGCTCCCCGAGGCTCAATTTGGAAACATTGATGCTGCCACGACGGAGCATATTAGCTTGACCTATTCTGCCCGTAACTGATCAGCCGGGCAAGTTGTGTGCCACTTTCGGTTTCCAGACTCAACAATTCCACATGTGAATTGTGCAGAGAATGTATGTTATCGGGTCTGTATGTTAAGCATTGCCAGGCCGAAACTCATGCCAAGTCCCAATCGTCTGAATGTGGCACAAACAGTATCAATTACCAATTGTTTATATTACAACGTGTTATTGATGCTGCCGTTGCTACCACAATTGCCACAGTGCATGGTGTTCGGTCGGTCTTTGTTTGTGGCCTGGTTGGCCAGAGCTTCGGTCGGAAACTTTGTAAATCCATCAATTGGTCGTTATCTTGATCAGGAACACCGCGCTCTGTCTGCAATTTGTTCAAGGTTTTGCAGAATCTTTTCGTTGTTTGAGTTTAACAAATAACGATTTTCTTATGCGACTCTTAATTTAACTAATGTCAGTTAGTCTCATACACGTTTATAGAAAAGGAAATGCAATTAAAATGAATTGTTTTAAGGTCATGATCTTTTATTTATCGAGGTTAAGTGTAGAAAATGGAAAGTTAGTTACTTGAATGCATTATAGACCTATCAATCTAATTATTTTCTTTTTTATTTTTTTTTTTTTTGTTATTAAAGCGTTCAACAGTTCATGACGAAAGTAAAATATTTGCCACACAATATTACAAATATGTGTGTCCCAAAGATATGTGAGCTTTTACAATAAAAGGTTTGGAATAAATTTTTTAATTTAATAAAATGCTAAAAACAACACTATATTGGGAACAGCAAGTCAAAAACTTGTCGATACACAATATTTTTTATTTATTTCTTATTTTGATATTGTAGCAACAATCAGCCGAACCTTCTTTTACCAACTTCTTAAATTTTCTTTTCTTACAATTTTTATAAAAAGAATAAAATCTATTCTTTCAAATATATATGATAAAATATTATTAATATGTACATTTCGCCAATATTAAATTAAAAGTACATTTATTTTAGCATCTGATCAGAAAGCCTTTAGCTTGTCAACCAGCCATATAAAACTACACAACGTTGATGTTCATTGAGTTGTATCCTTGAGTGCAATACTTCCTTTAAGAATTATGTAGGCTATATCCCCAATAAAGTTATAACTCCTTTCCTATATAGATCAATATGATATAAGTGTGGCGTGATGTAGCGAATCTCCACGATGGAATTGCATAGTCAACGCAATATCTCCCAATATTCACATGTTCAGCAAATTAATCGGTGGTATAAGTCTTTACCTATAGTACTAAGTTTGAAAAATATTAATTTTTGGGTATGCTTTCAGATATTTTTTTTCCACATTCGACATATTGTCTAAATACTTTAATTATTATTAAATTATAAATGTACCAGAAATTACATATATTAGGTAAGGTAACACCAACAGTCCAAAAATTGAATAGGAATGGAATTAAGAATATGAAGCGTTAAAATTAAATTGAATGTAAGCTTCTTTAAACCGAAGATATAAATATAATATGCTTTAATGAAAAAGGCTTTTATTAAAAAAGCTAAATTCATAAAAAGCTTTTATCTACTGCTCTGTTTAAGTACCTTTTGTTAGAAATTGTTTTTCGTCACCGAATGGAACATCGGCTCGTTGGTCTAGGGGTATGATTTCCGCTTAGGGTGCGGGAGGTCCCGGGTTCAAATCCCGGACGAGCCCAAGTTCGTTACTTTTTATTTATGTTTTATTTTGTCGTTATTTATTGAAAAAAAAATAGATGTAATTCATTTGGGCTCGTCCGGGATTTGAACCCGGGACCTCCCGCACCCTAAGCGGAAATCATACCCCTAGACCAACGAGCCAGTTGACTAAAGTCAACATTCTTAAATTTAATAATAGTGTTAGTGTTTTCAATTTTAATTTATTGGTTATTGGTTAAATCATGATTCAGCGTTAAAACTTCATATAATGCAATTAATTCGGTTGTTATTTATATGCAGTACAAGAAAATACCTGTTATCTACTTTTACTGAACCAAATAGCTTTGTTGGCACGAAATCGTCAGCTGGCTCGTTGGTCTAGGGGTATGATTTCCGCTTAGGGTGCGGGAGGTCCCGGGTTCAAATCCCGGACGAGCCCAAAGAAAATAAACTTTTGCGGAATTTAACTTCAAATTATAAACAATTTTGCATATTTTTAATTTTTTTTTTTTTCACAAATAACGACTTAATTGTAAATACAATAAAAATATATTTTATTTGCCACGAACGTGACCTTATTAAAATTGCATCAGTAGTAAAATATTTGAGTAATACCAATGGTTAACAGAACAAATAGAGTTTAATTTATTAATATTTATAATGCACTTACATTTTTTATATGTGATTTATATATTTAGGTATATATTTCGCAAAACAATTTTGATATTAAAGACAAAAACCTAACAAGTTACTTATATGCACGTAAATTCATACTGACAATGCCATATGTGTATAAATAGTTGAGCATAACATTTATGGTCTGTTTTTCGATTGTCCTAAATACTACATAAGTAAATGACACATTTAATGGACATAGAAACTTTTGGGTAAATGTAACAGATACAATACGATTATAGAATAACTGATAAATACATTTCGTCAAATAGAAAATTTATTTCTTGCCAATAATTGATACTTTAAATAGTGGCTAGTTTACGATGATTTTGTTGTAAGTGTTATTGGTGCTGTAGATATAATGATTAGTTTTTCCATTGCTCAACGTCCTTTCCAGCTAACGGCGGAAGGGGGCGAACATTTGTTGTTGTTGTTAGTATAACTCAATCTTTTTCTCGTTCTCGGTCTTAGTTAAGAGAAGCTGCTGCAACATCACCAACATCATCTTTATTAGCCATGTTTATATTTATGTATTTCCGTACGATTTTGCATTTGGTTTAAGTTATTTTTATATGTTAAATATTTATAATAATTTATTTATTATTAGCACTAATTATTCTTTGGTTATTCCACTGGTTTTGTTGTTGTTCGTTCTTGGTTATGGTTTTTCTTTCAACTGTTTTGTTTTTCGTTTTGTTTTCCATTATTTCATTGTTGTTCATTGTGCTTTTTCCTTTTGTATTGCATTGTCGGGGTTGTGCTGTTGCTGTATGTTAATGACGGCATCTGTTTTATATATTCGTTTGTGACTGGGTCCCTTTGAATTGGGCAGGCTACTAATACCTGATGCTGATGCCGATGCTGATGCTAATGCTGATGCTGATGATGATGCTGGTGATGTTGGTTTTGCAGTGGATTTTCGTAAATTCTTTCCAAACGTTGAGCTCGGCTTTAGACCTTGAAAAGAGACACGGAAAATTCATGAAAGATACTTTGGTATATGCAAAATACAATGTTACGAATAAATGTGTTGATATATGTGCTTGTGTGTGTGTGCCGTATGTTAATGGAAAACAACATTAGTTATATCTTATACACCAAAAAATAATAGATCACGTGGACATATATCGTTGCAGTAGGGAGAGATAAGAGATTAGATAGATAGAGGGCGACAGTGAAGTACGTGTATACAGTGGAAAGAGATTCTTATGCGGCGGTGCGCAGACCAACGTAATAGGAAAGTGAAATGCATTTCGTTTACCTTGAAAACATAAACGATTCTGATATATGGCAAATATATCGCAGGGCTTGTAGCACGGCTCATAGGCTAGCTCTTCGCCAGTGATTTCGATATCGTTGCCGGAATCAGAATTGCTTGTGGCAGACGTTTGGGAACGACTGAGCTTATTGGAGGGTATCACAAACTGGTTTTGCTCCATTTTGTCGGGGGCTCTCGATGCCGTTACGTGGTCTGTGTCTGGGTCTATAGATGCTGTTGGATTGATTCTTGTTGTGTTTGGTTCAACCATTTTATGTGTTGGGCACTGAACAGGCTTTGGTTGTGATGTTGTGTTGTGGAAGATGGTAACAAAGTGTATTAGTTTTTGTTTTGGTTTTTGTCTAATTTAGTGTTAGTCACAGATATTTGTTGCACAGTGTACTATATGTTTTGTCACAATTTCTACCATTTGGATGTCAATTCCGGTAAAAGCTGCGCTTAGTTATATATCTATCTAACTTACGATTCCAAAAAACAATAAGCAGGGCTTACCTCGCTATCTTGGCATGCAGCGTCCTCTTTCGAGCCTGTTGTCAGCCCCTGGACAAAGTGCACATCGCTTCCAGGATCATCTGAGGCCAAGTGTGCGCGAAATTGTCTATTTCTTTGATAGGAGTCAGATGAATGAGCTGTATACGAACATGTACTTGTAAAGCGTTTACCTCAGCTCCAGCTGTTGCATTTGTTGGAAGTGCCTCAACTTGCCGTTGGCCAGGTGCAGTTTTTCCTCAAGCGCAGCGTTTTCCACGCACTTGATGGAGTACTTCTCGGAAAATGACAAAATCTCTAGCCGCAGCTCATCGAGCTCCTCTCTAAAAAGAGTGTGGGAATAATTTAATAGTGTTCGAGCTGGGCAGACTAGGGTCACTCACTCCTTCAGCTTAGCGCCATCTCCACGCATGTGTTCGCCTCGCTGTACCTGATGCAAAAATTCCGCCTTGAAGCGTGCCACTTCGCGTTGTACTTCGCTCTGGTGGGCCTTGCGCATGGCATCCAGGGCGGCCAATGTTGCCTAGCGTTAAAGGTGTTGAGATCATGCTGGAAGCTAATGCAGGTTGCACTACATACCTGCGTTTCCTCAGCTAAAGCGGTTTCCTTCTCCGCCAACAGACGCTCAATTTCTTGCTTGTGCTTTTCTTCCATATCGCAGATTAGTCGACGATGCGATGACTCCATTGCGCTGAGGCCCTTCTCGCAGAGTGTCTTTAATGTAAATAATTAGATATAGCTTTAAGAATAAAGTGACTTGAAGATGGAGACATACCCTCAGCTGTTCAATTTCTGTCTGATACCGTTTGCGAAAACTCTGCTCATCGGCGGCATTGGCATGTTCGTGTCGATACACCTCCCTGAGGCATTCAAGCTGTTTGCCGTGCTCTCTTTCGAGCAGATCGAGACGTTTCTCCATCCGTTTGCAACGCTCCTGCTGTCGGCCCAGCTCGTCGCTTAGCTCGTCTCGCTGCTTCAACAGCTTCTGCTGCTCCTGCTCCTGGCTGGCGCATTTCTCCAGTGCAATCGCCAGCTCGTTCTCACGCTGCTCCAACAGTTGTTCACTTCGCTGGAGGTCCGTCTCGGTCTGTTGATGAAGTGCTGTCAGCTTCTCGACACGCTGCCGAAACTCGCAGCACTTATGGCAGGAATCCTGCAGGCACGAGAGTTCCATTTGCTCGCTGACCATTACGCAGGTCTCGGTAAGAGCACGCTCCAATTGTCTGAGTCCGTCCTTGCGCTCATTGAGGGGAGAAACGGATCGACGACTGCGATGGCCCGCGCGCAGCAGCTGCAGCTGGTTCAGACTCTGTTCTAGTCGCTCCTTACTGCTGAGCAGAACATGTTCTAGACTATGCAGACGCTGCAGCAGATGGGAGTTTAAGGGCGATGATTGAATACTGGAATCGCTGCTGGACTCGGTGCTTGGGACAGTGCTAGCTGCAGGCTTGCGTTCCACTGTTTCCCTTTGGAGCTCAGTCAGCTTGAGCTCCAGCTGCTCCTTGCCTTTCAATGAGAGTGAACGTCGTCGTTCGGACTTGGCCAGTTTCTGCTTAAGCGCTCGCACCTGGCGCTCTGAAGTGCTGTACTTGATCGTCAAATCTTGAATCCGTGCAGCCATCAATTGCAGTTGGGCCCCATCTTCCATCTGGCTGCGTTCCAGTTTCTGCTGCAGTGCCGTCTGGATCAGTTCGAGCGCATCGTACTGGTTCTGGGACTGTTTAAGCTCACGCTTCATAGCACGAATTTCATTTACCGCCTTCTCAAAGCGGCTGCGCAGCTCATTGTACTCCTCGGCCAGCGAGTCCCGCTGCAAGCAATATGGATCTATATCGCTTATCGTGGTCAGATCACTGAGCGAGTCCATGCGCTTCATTTTGTGACGCTGCAAGTTGCTGAGACTGGGCACCTGGCTGTTGTCCGCCTGCAATTCGCGCAGTCGCTTATACAGGCTCTCGTTCTCCTCGATGCCCTGCGCCAGACGATCCTCCAGCTGCTTAATCGTACACTGACTCTCCGTCAGCTGCACGCTCAGGCTATGCACCAGCTCCGCTGCACTTTGCTTGGCACTCGCCAGTTCACCGTTCAGTTGCTGCTGTTGTTCCTGAAGCCGGGCCGTGAGCTCCTGCTCCGTACGTTGCAGTGTTGTGAGCAGCTCCGACATGCGTGCCTCGCGCAGCTTGGCTTCGGTACGCAACGTTTCGCATTGTTGCTTGAGCTCGCGGTCTGGCCGCATTTCCTCGGGCACGGCCATTAATGGCAGCTCATCGCTGGCCACACTATCGACTGTACTTCGGCGCGAGCTGGGTGGAGAGCTGCGGCTGCGCTTATGCAGACTAGCCAAACTGCGATTGCGCAGACAGCTGCGTAAGACAGGTGGAGAAGGTGACAGCGGTGAGCCCCAGTCGAGGCTGTCCCGACGACCGCCCTCAGAGGCCGTGCGATACTCCTCATCAGAGGAGAAATGCGGTGCATTTGCCGGGGTTCCAGGCGTGGCCGGACTAGAGCTGAGCGGGTGCGTCTGAAGCTGTGCCTTAATAAAGTCCTGTTCAATTTCGCTTTGCTTAATTACGGATGACGTCACCGTCGTTGGCGAAGTCTCCAACTGTTGCGGTAGCCCTGCCGCACTCCTGAGTGCGACCAGCCAACTATTGCGCGAGCTGGGCGAGAGACCGGCTAGAAACAGACGCTGCTTGTCCCAAGTAATCAGTTGGAAGGCATGCTGTTTGCTGGCGCTGGGCTCTTCCACTACATTCGAAAGGCTGTTGACATCCAGGACGCCATCGAGCACGCCTCTTTCCTCGCACAGCGGATCTCTGTAGTAGAAGAGCGCTGCGCCACATAGCGTGAACCAGTGCTTGCTCCACTCGCCCGTGCGATTATCCAGCTTCATTAACCAGCCTTTTTTGGCGTTAAGCGTATCCTTTAGGCTTTTGGCTGACGGCTTGTTTGAAACTGTGCACTTATTGGCCTTGCTCGCGGGTCTCAGCTCATCCGCCTTGGCCAGGTAGTTGGCGCACAGCTCGTCCAGATTACAACCGCCATCGGGATCGCCACGTTCGTGCTGATAATGCTTAGCGGGTTTTAGCTGCAACTGCAATCGGGCGCCACCTTTTCCGTTTTTTGCGCCCTCTACCCCTTGCTTAGGTTGTTGCTGCTGTTGCTGTTGTTGTTGTTGTTGTTGCTGGGACACCAACACTGTGGGTATCTTTTTGACTATTGCAGATACAATTGCTGGCGTTGAATTGGCCGCCAATGGTAATGACTTTGGTCTCAGATTGACACTCGTTTGCTCGGAGCTAGCGCTTGTCGATTTGCCGGTGGACGTCACTTGGAAATCGGTCTCATCACGCGATGTCTGGTACTGGTAATGATGGTGATTATTTAGGGCATTGTTGACAGCCGTAGACCAACGCTTGTTCTGGTGTTGACTTAGATTTGTGTTAGCAATGTCCTTGATGGATTTCTCATCTCGTCGCATGTCCTCGATCAGCAAACAGCCCGTGGGTTGAGACACTGCAAGCAGAATTATTTTTGCAAGTCAATTATTGATATCAAATTGTTGAGCAGACCCTCTGCCTAGACCACATGTCTTTTCTTCCCAAGGAAAAAAGTTATAAGAGCCCTCGATTGGTAGTTAAGTGCCCCAAGTGTTTGTTGAAGAAGCGCTAACATAATACGCATAAGCATGTTGATTGATCATAAACTATTCAGTTATCAGGGCCATTTATTAAAATTGGTTCTAGTCTTGCTTGAGGATTCCATTTCCCTGGAAATACTTGTGCCATCCATAGAGCCATAATCCGATGTGCGGTAAGTTATTTGTGTGCAAATATAGGAAAATTATAAAAACGAGTTGAATGGTAAAAGGATCCCTGCGAGAAGATGCTCGATAACATGGTAAAACGTTCTCGTGAAAGAGTGACGAGATAGCTAGTGCCATAATTTTATTAACACCCAAACGAGCAAACGATGCATTGGCAACTATCAGCGGCATTGCTGCTGAAGTTGTCCCATAAATATATGTGATTACAAAATATATATTTTGAAGGCCTCTTGGCTTTGCTGGACCCGTTTCGCTTTATTATGATAATCATAAAAACTTCCAACTCGCCATTAAAACCAACCGTGTCTGTGCTTGAGTGTGCCTCAATTCGGTCAGTCGAACAGGTTGAACTCTTAGCCAACTTTTCGGGCAGTCGAACTCCCTGCGTTTATCTTGATTATTTAGTTGTGGGCCCGGCACAAAAAAAAGAAGACTTCTTTCTCCGTAAGCTCAGCATCTGCTCCAGCATCAGTTGGATCACGACGCTCGCCTTTGGTTGAGGGACTGACTCACTAGGCAGGTTCAAGGTTACTGTGCTAAATGGTGGGGCATGCCTTTAATTAGCCAACTTGTCGGTCTCAGTCGCTTAAGAAGGGCAGCGACCACTGCGTAGCCGTTGATTACGCTCAGCTCTAAAAGGTAAGCATGTATGTCTGTAGTTGAATTTATATAGCCTATAATATTATAAATACAAGCAGACAAAAACACAACAGACATACACACAGACCAGCCTAAGCTGTCAGTTTATTTCGCATTTTTTATCACACCCCGTCCATTCGTACTAACTATTTATTACCAATCCAATGCAGAAGAAATATTAAGCATCAAAACTGTCGAGACTCTGCTGCTTAACTAATAAACTAAATAAAGGCCAACCTAGAAACCCATTACTGATATGCTTCTCAAATGCATGTAGCTTTATATTAATTGCATTTCTTCAATTAAACAAGAGCAAAAACACACATATTTTACAATTGTAATAATTTTATAATTTAATAAGAAAAGTATTATAAAAATAATCTACTGTTTTTAAACTTACTCGAACCCCAAAGTTGTCCATAAAAAAATTTAAAATTGCTGCGGGATTCGTGCTCAGCCTCAATCCGAAAATATTCCCAAATGAAAAATTCAGCTAAATATCTTAATATTTGGACTATACGTTGGTCTGGACAAACTCTTTAGTGTATATAGATACACGCTATACTCAGCCATACTTCTTTAATTACACACGTTTGATTAATTAAAACTGCAATTTAGCCACTTTAAACAATCCACTCAGTCATGGACAGCTTCCTATCCGCGGACGAGTTAACTCCGCCTTGGTATAATAAATAATCAAATTCCAAGTTCATTTGCCAGTCCGGGTACATCTTTTGGGCAATACAAGCTTGGCCAACCAGGCTGGCAGCCTAAGGCAAGCCTTATACCATGACTTTGAAAAATTTCTAACTGATTGGAACGATGGCATAAACTGAGCTTGGCTTCTGCCAGTAAACGTACTCGTTATACTTATGAATATTGATTGATTATTGGTGGTCCAAGTCTACAGTACTTAGTATCTTGCTCTCTCACTCTCTAACTCTTGCTTGGACAGTTTTACAACCCGCATCGTCATATGTTTCTGCCCCTTGTTGTTTTTAGCTAGACATTTAATTTTTCCTGTCATTGTGCACTCTGCATAATTATCCACAGCGCATCAATAATAAGTTGGTTAATATGTCAGGATATATTAGGTATTAATAAAAAGCTTTTGTTGATTAATTATACCCTGAGCCCATTAATAATGGGTAAAAGGGGTATAATGTATTTGTGCAAATGTATGTAAGAGGCAAATGTATGTAATATGCTGATATATCGATATCGATTATCGGAAAAAACTCAAACTCATACTGCACGGGAACTAGAAGCACCTACGTTCTAAATTTCAAAAATTGTCTCTAGCACTTATATGTTCTGAGGACCTTGCGTTCATTGTATGGACAGAAACCATTAATTCCAGCTCTTGGTTCTTATATCTAAAATGCTATGCAGGCACGGCCGGGGAATACCTGTTAGTTATGTATATTTGTTGATAATATATCCGTCCACGTTTTTAACAACTGCGCTCTGGTTAATTAGCTTATCCTCATTAAAATTGATTTCAATACATCTTTAGTCAAGCACTTATTAGCTTATTTTCTGAATTCTTTCGTTTTCTTTGCCGGTTTTAGCTAGAATTTGCCACTCGCCTGCAGACTCGTCATCAACTGGCAATTTATCAACTAAATATTGAGATTTGTTGTATGTGGCAAGTCCTAGAAGATTGTCGAGGATCAAGTAACGGCCTGAACCTATGCGTGCATGTCTTTGTGGGCCAACAACCCCGAGTAGCAACAACGATGCAGATACACTATAATTTAAGCGTGAATATCATTTTTCCATGAACAAGTATCCTACAGCAAGGCATGTGGGAACATTCACAGTAACTGCAATTACCAGACTGAGCCTAGAGAGCCCACAACTCTTAGGGACTGCAAGCCTAAGCAAGGGCTGGAACAAGGGCAAGGGCAAGGGCAGGGGCCATTTGGCCATTGTATGCGTCTGGTGGATCTAAAGAAAATTTATGAAGCCTACCATTAAGTAGGAAGCTGGAGAAAAGGTGGCCTGTTGCTGCACGCTTGTGACTTGAGTTGTTGTTACTGTGTGAATTCAAGGTTAATTTTGTAGCTGGTTAAAGACTAGCTACACGCACGGACCGCAGCTCCCTTCTCCACTGGTCTGCACAGCCGTCGCAACGCATTGCCTCCCTTATGCCACCCAGCTCAGAGTCTGTCTGGGCTGTGCTTGATAATTTTGATTGCTGCAAGCCATAAATGATCATAAAAATTATAGCAGCCGATACAAAGAGGGCAGCTAAAAAGAAAAAACAAAAACAAAAACAAAAAAACTACAACATGCCTCGATAAGGAAGGGCGTATAAAATCACAATCATAAAACAGATTGTGCAAATAAATGCTTTGAGGCGAAAAGTAAAAGTCACTTTATCATCTTTATAATACCAACGTGTCGCTAACATGCATACATACATACATACATACATTAGCTGCTGTTTATGTAGTACATCAATGACTACCGAGTGCCAGATAAATGCTATGCCAAAATGTGTGCGTATCAAGTCTGCTCGTAAAGAGGGACAACTTGGGAAGCTGACTAGTGATTTTGGTGTTTATACACTCATAACTCGGTATTGCATAAGTAGTCTTCAAAATCAGAAGACATCCAGGTATGGTAGATCGCCTTACTGGATTTGATTGGTGAACAAAAACTTACCTCGATTTGTGATCTCATTGCCAGCATTACGATTGTTCTCGTCCTGTCCGCCATGGCAGCTCGATGAAGACGATGTTTTTGTCTTCCTTGAGGTTGAAACTTGCCGCTGCTGAGTCTCGTCTTCGTCCTCCTCATCCTCGCCAGTCTCGACCCCATCGTCCTCGTCGTCATTTGCCATAGCAGTGACTGATAGACTAACCGTGGTCGGCGAGCTGGAGTCATCGAGACTACATAACAGATTGCCGGCCGACTGCGAAGACGTTAGCGTGTCCTTGTGGTAGGAGCTATGGCGGTTGCCCAACTTGACTGCCATGTCCACATTCGAGGACTGCCTTAGGCAGCTGATCTGACCGCCTGGCAGTGTGGTGCTGCGCTTGTGACGGCTTTTGCATTTGGGAAAGCCAGTCAATATATTGAGCCACCACTGCGACTCATCTGGACTGATGCCCTTGACGAAGGTCACGCGGTCCTGTGCAGTTATGGCAATCGAGTTTGTATGGCCTGTAACCTCCTCGGCACTGCTCACTTCGAGTACTTTGGTCATATCAATGCAAGCCTGTGGCACCGTCTCGGGCTGCAAAACAAGCGAAATCTTAGAGAGTTCTGACAATTAAGGTGTAAAATGTTTCCCTGTGTCCGCCCCTGCTGTGAAAAGACGGATATTAGATAGGTAGACCTGGCTAGTCAGATGTGACTTGACTTGATAGCCGGACGGATATTCCGCTACAACAAACATATTCTTTTCACTTTTCGAACAGATTATAAGCTTTATTATAATTTCATTTGGAATACTGTGACCGACGGCACAGGTAAAAGCTAGAGCTATGTCGTAATTAGTTTCTTTAACGTGATAAGCATTCTGGGACTACAAATATTTGTATCTCTGACAGCACATAAGTTTTTATTTTAGCAACGCCAAGGTACTTACATAATCATCCACTGAATAAGTCAGCTCACCATCGTCGTAGAGAACAAACCATCGTCTTTGCCAACGCTATTAGGAGTAAAAAATAAAATATTCAGTTTTAGCTTCGATTAATAAAACTAGTTGTGCAAAAATGGTACATATTTCTTTTATGGATCTTATGCAAGTCTCAGTAGAGATCCTCGTATAATAAAAAAAAAAATATATAATAAATATACATATATTATGTTATGTGCTATGATCGTTATGCATAAACCTATGTGAACAGCTCGGTCTGTCAATATTATATTGCAATTAATTTGATTTGCGCTCAACACTTCCCACGACTCATTGACATGTTCTCAAGTTAATCCAATACTTAACAAAATGGAATTACTTTATTTGCTTCCGTGTTCATGGGCAGCAATGTATTTGCGTGTCAGGCATTTGCGATAGCCCCTGCTTTGTCGGATTATTAACATTTTAGTCTACCTACGGCTGGTGTTGATGGTAAATTATTGCCATTGGCCGTGGCCGTAACGCCCCCTTAGAAGGAATCACAGTTCCTTAACATGTCGCTTGGGTAGTCGCCGTCATCCCTGAAAAAATTACTATCCAATGCCTTGGCATTTATACTGGTTCCTGTTACTATTGTTGCTCGCAGATGAATACAGAAATCATAACAAATGCATGTCATCAACAACATGGTAGAGGTGGTACATCTACCCGCAGACACATGCTCTGCACGGGCTCCGGTGATATTTATGGTGGAGCTCGTATTTATGCAAATTGCTAAAAGTCAAAGCAAATTAAGCCGAAGCTTCAGGTAGATGCCGAACCCCAACAACTTGTAATACTTTTATATTATCCCTGCAAAGACAACTATTGTAGTAAATCGTGCATGAGGTGTGGCAGGTTGTGCTAGCTTGTGCAAGTACTTAAATATAGATTAAGTTCCCAATTGAATCCCTTCTTATATAGTGAGAACTGAAATAAGTCGTCTAGCACCTCTTTGAGAGGAAAGTGTATTTACGGTAACTACATTGAATAAGGGAATCTAAAATCCAGAGTAAACATTTGATGTTGAGTCGAGTTTTGGGGCGATTGACGGACAACACTTACGGTAGGTTTTAAATATAAACGATCCTTTCTTACTTTATTTATCTGTAATGTAATTAACTGCTTGTCCTGAAAGACTGAAACTTGATTCGTGGACCCAGTATAAGACGTAATAGCCAAGAAAATGGAACCTTACTGACTGCGTTTTAGAAAGTTCCTCCCATATGAGAGTTATTTTATTTATTATAATAACGCATTTTTTTGCTGCACATCGATTTCTATCCATTTTTAACATTCCACTTAAAATCATTGAAGACAGTTCCCAACAATTCGAAAAATCCACCTCAACGCTTGAATGGGATAAAATTGGAAAAAAATGTTGGTATTCGGCCCGAGTGTTTTTCGCGATAATTTATGGAATATCGTATCGATGTGATCAAAAATTCAAAAGTTCATGACCACAGTCTCTAAAATTTCAAGTTTTCCAAATCTCGCAAAACTTTTGGCAGGAAAACCCAAACTTTTTTGGTTTTAAAAGAGTGATATTTTGTGCCATTCACAGATAAGTAGAATATACATTTTAAATTGCAAGTCTTAAGGTTTTATAGCTCAAGAATATAAATTCTTTATGATGTCAGATATGCTTTCGTCTACCTGTTACATACACCAGTAAAACGCTTATACCCATTTGACTGTGGTTCAATGGGTGCAGGGTACACACAATATATCAGTTGCTGGCTGGCAGTGGCAAAGCCTACATGATTATGTGTACGTTATCGTTGAATGGAAATGTTTTATATTTAAATTTTAATCTTCAACTTCATCCACTTGGGAGAAAACCCAATAACTTCTACTGATTGTTTGAGTCGTCCAGTCAGCTTCCTAGCTCTTATGGTTTGGGCTGTGTACTTTTTTAATTAGGAAATCGCAACCTTTTTAATTAAGATTAACAATTACGATTAACAATTAGCAGAACGTGTCATGAAATATTGAACCCCACGACAGCTCGAACGTCTGCCGATAGACGTTCTTATCAGGCTTTTACAGCAGTCCAGCTTATCAGTAAATTTACGAGTGGTTTGTTATAGTTAAACATATTCACAAGGTAGCAAAGAATACTGCCCCATTTTAGCATATTTATTTTAAGAAAGTTACCTCAAGCATTTTTATCAAAAAATGACATGACATAATATATTTTTTAAAGAGAGAATCGGAAGAAGATTGTTTGCCTGAAAACACATAAGAACATGTGAGAACGCTGTACTCGACCGCAAAATCCAATGTATCCCTCAGTCAATATAATATTGTGGCTTCTAACAATACGCTTTGAACCCTTCAAGCCACAAAATATAGCCCCACATGAATTCCGAACGAGTCGAGCTCCAATATTGTGTAGTACAGCTCAAATAAATTATTTTAGCAACCGTGATTAGAATAAGAAATTTAAATAACATGATTTGAATTCCACGTGCAAAGTTATATTTTACATAGATGTTTGATAATTAGTTTGAGCTCCATTAAATAGAGAATCCACAGTTAATTCACAGTTTTTAGCCCGTCAATTTATTCCCGAGCATTTTTCCCCCGGCAAGCCGTTTGATTTCTGTCTTAATGGGCTCTGACTCTTATCAGGCTCTATCACTTTTCGAGAATAGAATAGCTACGTTTAAATATATTAAAATTAGAAATGCTTAAACCAAAAGTCATCAGTTGAAGTGTACTTTTTAATCGATAAGTATGTAAAATATCAATAAAAACGTTCATTTACTTGTAATATGGTTATATAACAAATTACTAGCAGGCATTACCCGAAATTTTTAAGTCTATGAGTTTTTTTGTTCCCGTACCATACTGAACCTATATCTTATTACATTTACAAACTTCATATTCTGCCATATGTGTATTTATGTGTTTGTCTCTAGATTGTATGTTAAGGTTGACGCTGGGTTCAGGACTTACTCAAGTTTGCCCCTCCCGAATTGTACTTTGTTAATGTATGTGTTTAATTCAGATTATGAGGTCAAAAGGCTATTACTGTAACCTCGGCAAGCGAGGTGAAAACTTGTTATTTTTAATAGTTATTGGTTTCATTTTTCTTACATTGTATAGCTATACTCTATACTCTATACTCTATACACTATACTCTATACTCTATACTCTATACTCTATACTCTATACTCTATACTCTATACTCTATACTCTATACTCTATACTCTATACTCTATACTCTATACTCTATACTCTATACTCTATACTCTATACTCTATACTCTATACTCTATACTCTATACTCTATACTCTATACTCTATACTCTATACTCTATACTCTATACTCTATACTCTATACTCTATACTCTATACTCTATACTCTATACTCTATACTCTATACTCTATACTCTATACTCTATACTCTATACTCTATACTCTATACTCTATACTCTATACTCTATACTCTATACTCTATACTCTATACTCTATACTCTATACTCTATACTCTATACTCTATACTCTATACTCTATACTCTATACTCTATACTCTATACTCTATACTCTATACTCTATACTCTATACTCTATACTCTATACTCTATACTCTATACTCTATACTCTATACTCTATACTCTATACTCTATACTCTATACTCTATACTCTATACTCTATACTCTATACTCTATACTCTATACTCTATACTCTATACTCTATACTCTATATGCCTGCAATAATATGTACAATATTACTTTAATCAATGCAGTTGGGCTGAGACAGTTTCTAGCCGAGACATTGCTGTTGAGACTTTTTAATTGAGATATTATAATATCCAACTTTTTTTTCGAATGTAAATGCACACAAATGGCGAGATACTGAGCCAGGCTTGCGGTTGCTCGAAGGGCACAGAGATTATTGTGTTAAAATAAAAACGTGCCGGTTAAGGTAGATAATTGTAAACGTTCTTCGCATGCGGTGGGCTTGGTTTCTTGCTTAATGGAACTCGTGTTAAGCAATTGTTGACCCAAGTATGATAATTCTATTCGGAACGCCCTACTCGGCAGATTCAAATCAGCCGATGCTCAATTTGCGACCATAAAAAGCAAACATTTTGTCCACGTATATTGCTTTGACATTCATTGAAGGTCGAATCTCCTAGCGCGCTGCGTTCCGTGCCTCTCTCCTATCACAATACTCGATGTTTCCATACAAGTACATATATACATACATATGAGCACACGCCCATTTGTTTTCGTAAATTTACACAAGAGCATTACATTACCTAGACACCGAACGTCTCCGCGACATAGACAGAGGCTTGGAATTGGACTTACAAGTATTTAAGGGGCTACTCGCACGGAGAACAGTGTCAATCAGCACAGTGTAATCAGGCAGATCGGATCAGTTGCACGTTCCTCATATTATTATTTCTCGACCGCAAAGTAAGTTGTAGTGTGTAATAACAGAAAAATAGTAAACAGCCAGGGGCACAAATATATGTACATATTTTCATAATACTGTGCAGGCTAACAACGATTTTGTTCATATATTCTGGATAGCCCTATTTACTTAGTTCGGACCTAGGTCCTGTGCCGGAGAGGGTATCTTATAGTCGGCCATCTGTTAGTTATGTTCTTAAACTTGTTTGTTCTGGTTTTCTAATTTTAAATAAACTAGTCAAATAGCTGCGCATGCATGATATTGTGAAATATTTGAAATCTTAATTAATATTCTACCAACACACAAAGCACACGCACAGCCGAACGAGCATACGAATCTTAAGCAAAACAGAAAATAAATAAACAAATGTTGCGTCTAAATTAAGCACATACGTAAATTCGGCAAGACTTGACTGGAAAAAAACCAAAAGAAAACGCAACAAAACAAAACACGAACAGTTCTATCAGTTTCGACGTCGACTTCGCTGCCGGCGCTCTTGATAAGCCCCATAAGTTTGGCCGGCAAGGGAACACTAAAAAAAGCCACCGGCTGCGCGGTTATAAATAGTAGGCATAGACTTGAACAACTTAGAAACTGTTGTTCGTTC